AAATACAGAAGATAAGTTCATGAAATTGACTATTATGCCAGAGGAAGACTGAATGCCTTAGGAAAAGGGACTCTTGTACCCAATCCTGAGTATGAGCACATGGACTGTAAACAGCGAATTCAATTGTTGTGTAATTATACAATGTATGGGGTGATGCTTTGCTTCATTATCAAGACCTTCTCATTCTCATCTACTCTTCTCTTGATTTTAGCCAATTAATTGCATTTAGTCACATTTACTTAGAATTCAATATAAGAATGTATTTCTAGATTAGATTTTAATTCCCACTTTATCCTATTTCCTTCCCACAAACAAGACGTTTAAAAGATAAAGGCCATGTAAACACTTCATATGAGAAAGAGTGTTTGTATCCACAAAATATATAATAATTTGGTGTATATTTTCTGCAAGAATGAAACATTAATAACTGCCAATGTCTGAATCATCACTATAAATAAACAATAACAACAGTAGCTATGTAAATTGGTATACATTTTGGGACAATGCTTTTGGCAATATTAATTAAGTACCTTTAAACTCTATATTTATTTCCTTTGATTCTATTTTTGGGAATCTATTCCGAGCACACAACGTATGCCCATAGATACACATGTTCCTCTATCTCTGTACACAGTGAGGCAGCATTGCCTAGTGGTTAAGGACAGGGTCTCTGGAGAGCCTTGGCTCAAATCCTGACTCCACTGTCGACTAACTGCATGATGTTGAGAAAGTTACTTAAATTCTGTGCCTCAGTTTCCTCATTGATGACAGGCAGATAATCTTAGCGCCTCTTAAAGTCTTCGTGACAATTAAATGAGGTTATAAGCATAGATCGCTTCCACTAGTGAATGTAATAAATGTACACTGTCACCATTATTATGTTCATGATGGGCTATTTACAACAGCAATGAGAAAGCACCAGTGCTCCAGGGCGCTAGACAGGACGCGTGAACTCTGCTATATGCACTGGAAGGTAAAGTCATTACATCTTATCACAGTGCCTAGCACAGGAATCAATTCCTACAAGTTTTCAGTGCAGTCTGAATTCCATTGTGAAATATACAAGGTGCACCTTGGGTCATGTTTTAATATCACTGAAACTGCAAGGTCTCTCATGGTCAAGGGCGAGTCATAGTTTAATGGGTAGTGTGTGACGCATCTTGCATTTGATACAGTCCATAGTCAGCAAAATAATGGCCTCCCAAAAATGTCCCTGTCCTAATTGCCAAAATCTGCCAGTGGCCTCTTCTATGGCTAAACAGACTTTGTACATGTGCGTAGCTGAAGGACTTCGGGATGGGGAGATTATCCTGGAGTCTCCATGTGGGCCCATGGCAACCACAAGGGGCTGCGCAAGAGGAAGGCAGCAGTTCAGAGTTAGTAAAAAACGTGATGACAGCAGCAGAGGTTGGGGTGATGCAAAGAAGGGGCCAGGAACCAAGGGATGCTGCAGCCTCTAGCCCTGAAAATGGCAGCTGAAGCCTGAAGCTTCTAGAAGAAACCAGCCCTGCTGACACCTTGACTTGGGTCCAGTGAGACTAATCTTAGATTTCTGATGTCCAGAGCTGTAAAATAATAATCGTGTGCTGCTTTGAGCTACTAGGTTTTTGATAATTTGTTATAGTAGCAATAGGAAACTAATATACAGTCTTAAATTGGTTGCAATGAGATTCTTTTTGACTTACAGGCAATGTTAAGCCTTCAGCGCTTTCTGAATTGTCACTTAACATGAAAGGGAATCCATATAAAGCTACTGAGTGAATGTTGAATGAAATAGTATACAGCCATTAAAATGATGTTTATAAAGCGTTAGTAAAATGGAAAATGTTATTTGTTAAAAAAAAAAAGAATGTCAATTTGTATTTCAGTAAATCACAAATATATTAAATGGGAAAACATCAAATTATGCATAAAAGAATCCCAGAAGAAAAGAAATACAAATAGTAAGAGAGATTGCTTCTACATGTAAATGACTCCTTTTTCTTCCTTTTACATTTCTGGAAATTTTGTATAATGAATAGGTATTAATTTCATAATGCAAAAAAGTCCACCAATGTCATTTAAAATTTAGTAGTATAACATGGATAAAAAAGCATTTTGAATGATATTGGTAAACTCCATCTCTTTATGCACCAGTAACTCTAATGTAATCGCTAATTCAAAGCCTTCAAATTCATAGGTCTGGTATTTCCCTAGCTATGCAGTCATCACGGACCTGCATTTTGTTTTGCAAGGATGGGTCAGCGTTCATAATAGTAACGTTATAATTATCACCTTCAAAACTCATCCACTCAGCAGCCCCTGCGAGCTGCCCGAGGGCAGCAGGGTATCAGACGGGCAGTGATTTAAGTAGATACTGATAGATGACTCATTGGGATAGAAAAAGGCCAAGAAGAGAAAAGTTGGGAACCTGCAGAGTGACTCCCCTTCCCTCCAGTGTGGAAAGACGAGAGAGTTCTTCCTAGCAGTATGGGTCTTTGACCTCGAAGAAATGCTCCACTAGTCCGAGCCTTGGTCTCTTCGTGTTAGGTGGGAAGAAGACTAAATTCTCTCTCGAGTTCCTTCTAGCTCTAAGCATTCTATAAATTCATGTATGTGTAAATATTCGCACAAACATATAGGCTCTGATTATAAAAAAATAGGACTGAGCTCTGGTCAGTTGGGTTTAGTGGTTAGAGCATCAGCCCATGGACCCAAAGGTCATGGGTTTGATTCCACTCAAGAGTATGGACCTGGGTTGCAGGTGCCTGGCCCTGCTGGGGTCATATGGGAAGCAACCAATTGATGTGCCTCTCTCAGATCGATGTTTCTCTCTCCCTTCCTCCCTTCCACTCTCTCTAAAAATCAGTGGAAAAGTATCCTCAGGTGAGGATTAACAGCAAAAATAAATAACTGTGTTTAAAAAAAGAATCGCTGAAAAAAAAAGCTTTCACTCTTCCACAGCCTCACTTTGTATTCACACAGGGACTGCTGTGAGCTGGTGTGAAGTAGGTCTTTTGTGCGGTACAATTTCCCACTAATACCATCACCATCAGATATTTCACAGTATCTTCTTTTACATGAAGTCAGAAAATAAACTGCACAGCGTATTAAGAGGCTTAGACGTCTGAGGGCTTACAGCAGCAGCCCGTGGTCTGGTGAGTCGCTGAAGCTTTACAGCTCGGCTCTCGTGAGCTGTTGGAGGCCTGCACGCGTGCCCGCAGGGAAGCTTCCTGCTCTCGTCTGTGAAAATCCGGCACGTGAACGAAACTTACAGCCTTCCAACTAGGTGCCATGCCTGATCATTTCTCCATTCTTATCATTTTAAACAAGATGCCATTTCTAGAATATGTCATACGTAAATTTTAGTGGAATCTCAACATTTCCTAGTGTATTTATTGCCCCCCCCCGAAAATATGAATGGAATACCTCTTATTTGAAAGAAACAAGTTAGTTACTCCCAATCCTATAGAACTTAAAAGTCTGTAGGGTGCAATAAATCATGTACATATTTAACTTTAATACAGAACAGAAAGGTAAATGCAGGAGAAAGATTTGGTTATATTACAATGGATAGAATCTCAGAGAGAAATAGAGAGTATGTTCAGCTGTCCACAAAGAGAGATGATCCAGGGAAGCTTCCAGTGTACACGCCATCGGAGGCTGTTCGGATCTTAAACTCAAAACTGAGGTGGAAGTGGGGGGCTTTCTCAGTGGATGAAACAGAATAAGCAATACCCTGGCAGCATGGACAACTTGGAGTGGGCATGGAGAAGAGCACAGAGTGAAATGTGATGGCAGTGCCCACTTCAAATTGGGGAGCCATGGCATAGACCGAAAACATGGACCAGATCCAGTTTTCCAAGGCCTTGAATGCTGAGCTAACGAAGCTACACTTGAGTCCACAGACAGTGGAGCGTCATACATGCTTCCAAGCAATTACTAATTGCTTTTCATTCACCTCTCCTTCTTAAAGGTGACAAAGGTAATTTTAACTTTGTACTTTAAAAGGGATTACAATTTCTTACTCAACAAGAACACAACTTTAAGCAACCCCTCTGTTTATCAGTCAATGAATTGGAAAGTATTTAAACTTTACATGTTTGAAACTCTGAAGGGAAAGATTTCCTTTATGGCTCTAGTATTTATTTGGTTTTGGAAGAGCACTGAGCCTGTTAAGATGTTGGAATGAAAGCTGCACATAGAGGCGGCCTGGGAAGCCCATTTATCTGGGGGATAGACGGGGACTTGGTCACACCGACTTCATCCTGGGCCTCCAGGTTTCCCAGTTCAGGCCTCTGGTCATCAGGGTTTGGCTCTGGCCCTTTATACACAGAGTCTGGTCCTTCACCTGGTTGCTCCAGGGCACTGGCCCCAAATCTACGTTCTGTACATGGAGCCACAACACTGACTCAGCATGGCATTTATTTGTGTATTTGTATGAGAGAGAGAGAGAGAGAGAGAGAGAGAGAGAGTGTGTGTGTGTGTGTGTGTGTGCACATTTATCTATAAATGTATAAATATACATACATTATACAAAGTGATGATGACCCATATTGTTATATCTATTATTTTATAGTGAAAGTTGTTACATTTTCTAAATAGTTTGTGGGCATTTTGAGAGCAGGCCCAACATATAGTAACCTGCATGCAGCCAGAACTTAATTAGTATGTATTGATTAATTGATTTAAGAAAAGTTCTTTAGCCTCCAGCATATGCTGCATTTCCTTCTAGAATCAGGGAGAACAGCTGGTTAACACATTTGATATAAAAGGACAAAAAAGTATGGTTTCTATTTTCCTTTAGATTGTAAAAGGCAAGATAGGTTAGTTCTTTAAAAGTTCCTGAGATGAGGTAACTGAACTCATCACATAGAAGCAATCAATGTGTGTGTGAAACCAGCCAGCTCGCAACTGCACAATGGAGGAGTAATGTGCTGAACATGAAATACAGGTGATGTTCGCAAATGGAGACAGTTCGTCAACTAGCATGGTTTCTATGTGTAATCCTTGAACCTTACCTCAATAAAGAAGATGCTGGCTGCTGACGTTGGATGATGATACATATAGACTGTCACAAGAATGGCTGCTGCTATAATGAGGACCAGGATGAGAATCCCAACAATGAGGCCAGCATGCAGGGTCCCCCCTTTCTTCTCCGCTGCACTGTCGTCTGTAGAAGCTGAGAGAACAACACAGCTGTCAGGGCATTCAGGGGTACACTCTTAAGCTTGTCTTTTCATTAGAAAGAATACTTGTATTTTAAATAAAGTACCCTTGGATTTTTTTTACTTCCTGTGCAACTTTCTTTTCCATCTGACCCATTTTAGCAGTTAGATGTTTGTTACATGGGCCATAAAAATCCATACTATTAATGATTAAAATATATATATAATTGTGTTTTAATTTGCAGTTCAATAAGCAAGATCAATAGCCTTTATTTTAAAAGTAGTGCAGAAAATCTAAAACTTTGACTATATCACAAACTTAACTTTGATTTTTCTCATTAAACCACTGGCACTTTTACCTATGAAAAAATTGATTACCTTTTGAAACTCTTCTCTCTCATTTTCTTTGGGAAATTTTAAATTGCAGAGCATTAGACATCTTTTGGTGGGCTACACAGGCATTTTCAGAAAGTCTGCATGTGTTCAATGGATAATTTTCAAAATTATCCTTTTAAACTGCAAAATTATCTCTTTTAAACTGCAATGCTCTTTAAAAGTACAACAGATGGAAGCTAAATGACCCTCAAATAGTTTTATCACCATCTAAATGGAACAAACAGCATATAAAAATATTCTACTATTCCACAGACCAACACCATCTTCCCTAACTTTTACTGATGTACTTTCCACTGTAATACTCATTTTTAGAGAGGTATTTCTGAATCTCTCAAGTAATAACTTTCCAACTTAAAGTCAATCAACCAAATAAAAGCAATCTATAAAGTCTTATCTTGTTCTAAAATTCTGTAATCTTTGATGACTACTCAGGCATTTAGAGGAGATCTTCTTAAATTATGTGCAGCAGGTAATTGTATATTAGTGAAAAATATAATTGGTATTTTTGAAATAGAAAATTCATTATGACTCATAGAAATTTTAGAACAGTAATTCCTAATCATTTCATTAACAATTTATGTGTTATTTTCACCCTTTGCATCTATGTTTTAAACATTTTTGGTCTATTAAACCTCATTTAAAAAGCACCAATTTATTTATTTTACTTTAAATGTTGTTACTGAAAAACAAACATGACTGTGTATCAGAATGTCTGATCAATGCTAAATAACAGAATTTTAGATAAAGCAAAGGAACATGACCTCCCCTTTCTTTAGTATTGTTATTGTTTGTTCACTGTTTGAGATGCTTAATAGTGTTCAATACTTTTTCTCCAAATAAAATAAAGTTCAAAATCTTAAAGCTTTTTCTTACCTAACAGAAATTAATGTAAAATTTAAAGAGTAATTAATTATATAAACATTCATTTACAGAGATAATTCTGGGAAGTCAGCAGTAAAGTGTCAGGAATCTGTCTCCCCAGCTACATTACAATTGCTCTGGCAGAACCTGTCTAAGATAGTGATTTTGAAGTGGTATACCATGGCAGGCACCCTGGTGTGCTGCAAAAATTTTTTAAACCTGCAATACCTGACTATTTAGTCAGGGGCATTGACTTCCTTTCTCTTAGATTGTTTAATTTAAAAAAAAAAAAAAAAAATGACAACACTCAACACAACAATAGTCATCTGGTTCAAAATTATATAAAAATTTTTGTCGGATTGCCAAAAATATAATTTTTGGTATGCCACAGAATTTTAGTAATTAGTTTATGTGCACCATGAGATGAACAACATTGAAAATCGTTGCTTCTAAGATAACTATTTTGGAACTCTGGATTCCATTGAAAACATGCAACTTCCCAGGGAAGGCTCAGACTGTAAATGATGGTTAATTTCAGTCAATATCAGCTCTTAGCACAGTAGTAGCTACCTATCCTTTACCCCAGCCACATGAAAGGTAACTGTGCACGTGTCCTGGTCACTGATTGGTGCTTCTGATCACAGTGGTGCACATAGAAAGACAGGCAGCCATTGCTGTTGCCCTTCCTCCATCATTGCAATCCTCTCCTCCTTTGGTTGACTGACTTCCAGAACATTTAAAGAACCAGCACCCTCTGGCCTGGTCAATGTGGCTGAGTTGGTTGGGCATCATCCTGTATACCAAAAAGTTGCTGGTTTGATTCCTGATCAGGGCACATGCCTGGGTTACAGGCTCAATCTCCAGTAGGGGGTGTGCAGGAGGTGGTCAATTGATGGTTCTCTCTCTCTCTCCCTCTCCCTTTCTCTCTCTCTCTCTCTCAAGTCAATAAATAATAATAATGAAAAGAATAAGAAGGCAGAACCCTTCTTATTGCTTCCCCCTTTACTTTTCTTATTTTCTCCCTTTAAGAGCCAGATATGAATAAGTAGAACACTCAAAAACAACTGTGTATATAAAGAAAACTTAAATGTGACAGTTCATGCCCAGGAAAAGGCTCAGAAGAGACTTGAGAAGATCTTAAGTTTATACTTCAAGCTGAACCTCAATACAGAGACAACCTGCAACAATAAAACATAAAACAAAAACAGTAACCAAACCCAGTAAACTCTGGGGTAGGAAAATAATTTGATTCCCAGAGTTATCACATTAGTAGATTCAAATGTCAAGTTTTGAGCAAAAATTCACGGAAAGGTATGGCTCATTCAAAGGAGAAAAAACAACAGAAACTGTCCCTGAAGTAGACTTGAAAGCAGATGTACTACACAAAGACTTTAAAACAGCTGTCTTAAAGATACTTAAAGAGCTAAAGGAAGATGGAGAAAAACTAAAAAAAAAAAAAAATGTAGGGACAACATGGAAATATAATTGAAGAGATAGAAAACTTAAAAAAAATTAAGAAATTATGGAGCTGAAAAGTACAGAAATGAAATAAATAATCAAATTTAAAAATTCACCAGAGGGATTTAAAGACAGATTTGAGCAGAAAGAAGAAAGAATCAACAAACTTTCAGAAAGGACAACAAAAATTATCCAGTCTGAGGACAGAAAGAAAAAGATCAAAGAAAAGTAAACAGAGTCTAAGGGACTGTGGGAGACCATCACATGGACTAGCATATGCATCATGGGAATCCCAGAAGGAAAAGACAAAGAGTACATTTGAAGAAATAATTGCTGAAAACTTCCTAAATTTGATGAAAGATATTTATATAAATATCCAAGACTTCAAGATTCTCTCAAGGAATTTCAAGTAGGATAAAATCAAGAAGACCTACACCAAGACAAATTATAATCAAACTTTCAATGACAAAGAGATTATCTTCAAAGCAGTAAGAGGGATGTGACTCATCACATAGAGATGATTCTCAAAGTAATTATTAGCAGATTTCTCAACAGAAACTTTGGAGGACAGAAGGCAATAGCCCAATATATGCAAAAAATGCAAAATGCAAAAAACCAAAATGAAAAACCAACCTGTCAACCAAGAATCCAGTATCTGTCAAACTGTCCTTTACAAGTGAGATATTCTCAGATAAACTAAAAGTTGTGGGTTCAATCCCCAGTAGGGGGCTTGCAGGAGGCAGCTGGCAGCTGATTGATGTCTCTCACATTGATGTTTTTATCTCTCTCAAAAAATTAATAAAAAGTTATTAAAAACAAAAGAAGTGCAAATTGTCAGTTATAAAAATAGTCACAAGGATGTAAAGTGGAGCATAAGAAATATAATCAATAATACTGTAGTAACTATGCACGGTGTCATACAGGTACTAGACTTAACAGGGTTATCACTTCATAAGGTACACAAATGTCTAAGCATTATGTTATACACCTGAAAGCATTATAATATCGTGTCTCAACTGTAATTGTAAAACAAATTTAAAAACAACAATAAACTCCAAACAGTTCTATTTCTGAAATTTGCAGTTGTGAGGTTTAGCTTCTCTTCTTTTATGTGTGCAGAATAGGGAAGGGAAGGACAGCACATTGTGAGTTGGCCTCAGGTTACCACTTTCCAAAGTGGACCAGACAACTGGGGGCAGCAGGAAAGAGACGTCCTTCCCAGGGAGAAAAGATAGAGCAAAGGACACGTTTTATTCAATAAGAAACCCTGTCAGTAAAATTTTCTTTGACTTATAGGGCATAGGTTGTCAACCATTAGAATATAAAATTATAACTGGATTTATACCTTGAAACCTCACTCACTCCCTTTAGGCATAAATGGTTACCTTCACAATTATTATTTATCTATATTTCCAATAATGGTTTGTTTGTTTGTTTGTTTGTTTGTTTGTTTATTATCTGTTGTTGTTGTTAATCCTCACCCAAGAATATTTTCCCATTGACTTTTAAAGAGAGTGAAAGGGAGTGATGAGGGAGAGAGAGAAACACTGATGCAAGAGAGACATAGCAATTGGTTGTCTCCTGCACAACCCCAGTTGGTGCCAGGGACTGAATCTGTAATCCAGGTACATGCTCTGGACCAGGAATTGAACCCATGACCCTTCAGTCTAATGAGTGCTGAGGCTCTAATATCTGAGCCAACCAGCCAGGGCTTTTTTTTTTTTTTTTTTTTTTTTGGTTTTTCTTTTTTTAATTAATCCTCACTCAAGGATATTTTTCCATTGATTTTTGGAGGGAGGGAGGCAGAGAAGGAGGAAGAGAGAGAAAATTCAGAAACATCAATGTGAGAGAGACACATCAATTGGTTGCCTCCTGCACAATCCCAACTGGTGCCAGAGATTGAACCTGCAGTCCAGGTACATGCTCTTGACCAGGAATTGAACCCATGACCCTTCAGTCCACAGGCCAATGCTCTAACCGCTGGGTTAAACCGGTTTTTACAGCTCTCCTTTGTAGTGATGTTGTAGATGTTAAGACATCATTTCATGTCTAAGGAAATCTGTACAGAGTGTGGTTTGCTACCAGCCAAATACAAATTTTATAATATTTTTGGATGATGATGAATTGAATACAATAAGTAATCTCATGAATTCTCAAAATCTTACTAACCAATTGACAAAATAAATATTTAGGGATCCATAAGTGTGCACATGAATTTATGATCTCATAACTAAGAGCAAACCATTTAAGGAGAGATGTAGCAAATTCAATTCCAAAATATTGCAGGAGTATTCTGTGT